TAGCTGGGTGGCTGATAGTATATAGTGGCGATGAAGCGATTGAGTACATAGATCAATGTTGAGTGAGGGCTATATATAGTACGCCTTCGTGTACGCTCGTCATCCCCATCATGACAGCGCTCATCGATTACCAAATTATCTTCCTTACCATGGAATGACAGCCAGCGAGCACCAAACTCATATTCTCACTTTGAAGGTGTAAAATCTGAGGGAAGGAGGGAAGGGTAGGAGGAGACAGGAGGTGGGGATGGGGGTGAAAGACTCATGTACTGTAGTTCTGTATACCGTGTTTGAAAGTTATGGAGCTACGTGGAGGTACACCTATACTTACTCCTTAATGAAAGCTTGACGTTTAGGGGCGTCAATTTAGTAGATGTCATATACTAGTTGGTAGTCAATCATTATAATAGTGATTGACTATGCGTTACGGAAATGAGAAACAGAAAAGTGAAAATGGAAGAGGGGGAGAGAAAGAGAGGAAGAGAGAAGGAGGGGACAGATAGAGAGAGAAAGAGAGAGAGAGAGAGAGAGAGAGAGAGAGGGGAGAAGGTGATTTTTTCTTGATACAGTGTTGAGCCAAATTTAGCATTTGAAATCGAAATATGTATTTTGTTTTTCAAAATGGGTCGTAAAAGATTCAGGATTTACTGGATTTACTTGCCAAAAACGTGAGAAACGTCACACTCTTTTAGAGTTATTTTAAACCTATATATTTCGAGAAGATCGGATATTCAAAGGGTTAATTGCCATTCCCATCGAAAATACTGTTTCATAATAATATTCATACCTTGTGAACACACTGAATGTGAAACGCTACAGTTCCTGTTAGGTTATGGAAATGGTGCAAACTGTTAGCTTGAAGAACGAACTGATGATCGTCTGAAGTAGTCCATGCTTGAACTGACCGCAATCCAGCGAACTATGTATCTTGGCAATTCAGATTCTATAAGGAGATGCCGCCTGAGGGCGGTATGATCAAAATTAATCAGAAAGCTCGCCTCCAGACTGGTCGAATCCTCCAGTATTTGAAGTGAACGCTGTTATGTTTAGAGTTTCATATCAACATGATAGAATAATTGACGATAAGCTACCTGTCAAAGATTTATCCTATTATTCAGCTATGGATAACTTTAGATGTCATAATTTGTTAGAGTATACATTTTTATTTAAACTGAACGTCCCACGGGTTGTGCCAGACTAATTGTGTCATCTCTGTAATGTGATTTGTGACAACAGGAATAACAAGTGTCCATCTGTGAAAATTGTAGAAAGTCGAATGTAACAAAAAATAAATTCTAACACACGCAAAAGCATGTAACGTATCGCTATAAGTTATCATCAAATAACATATTACGCTTACTTTCTCTCGTGAAATGTAAGAAATTTTCAAAAAACCGTCAAAATATTATTTTAATGTCACAGTCATATAGAATTTTGTTAATGAGATTCAAAATCTAAACATTTCGAAGTTTTATTCTTTTAATTTTGTAGTGAGATTTGTTTTGCTCCAAAATGCTTTCATATTAAGGTTTTCATTGTTTATGTGTAAGCGCACAGAAACTTTCATGGATGCTGCAAGTTTACTTTGTGCAAGATATTGTCTTTTGAATGTAGTGAATTTAAATGCATAGTTCATTTTTAATTCGAAAGTATGACATACTAACAAATCATAATGCACATTGGAGCGACTAATAATGTCATGATCACATAAATTGAATGAAATCCAAGAGATTCAATGTCATATTTTGAATTAAAAATCATGACCAATAGCAAGAACAACACCATGATAATGCAATCAAATTTTGATGAAGTACACGTAACGGTTGGAGAGGTTGATAATATATCAAGAAAGTGCAGACGTCCTTTTCAGATGAATGCAGATAAAGACATGAATGCCAAATGTCTTCTGGCTATTTATGAATAATTCCATTCCCAAGGCCCGTTTCATAAAAAGGACATGTCTCACCGCTATAGGTTTATTTCTCAAACAATCAGGGCTTATTTCCTTGGACGAAAAATCCGTATTACTACTGGCGAAGTGATTGACACTTTTATGAATTATGAAATAAGAATTTGCACAATGCTTTTGTAATATTATAAGATGACCATGCGACTTATAAGATAAGTGAGACGGAGACAGAGAGAGAAACAGAGAGAGAGAGAGAGATTTGAGTGCGGCAAGCCCATGCATGTACAAGACTGATGATTAAATTTCATTATTTGAATCTCAAGTAAATTATTTTAGCGCCTTTCATATCTTTAGACTTTGCAAACGTTGTTGATGAACAAAAATGTCAAACGCATTTCAGCATAAACAATAGGTTTTCACTCAATTAACTTTTGCAGATACAAATTACTACAATGGTAATTAGTTACTCCTCCCTAGCTCCCCACTCCCCTTCAATTTTCATTTATTTATTTCCATTTTGACGAAGAATTCTTCAATATCTCTTTACCCCCCCCCCCCACCCGCCCTCTTTATCCCTATAATCCTCTTGAAATGTATAGTTCAGATTTCAAAAACGTCATTAATTATATTTGTTTTAACTAACAACATATTTCATCGCCTCTCCCCCGCCCCTCTCTCTTTCTCTCCTTTCTTTCCTTTTCGTCCAGACTCACTCCTTTGCTCCCCCTCTCTCTCAAGCCGACTCTCTCTCTCTATCTCTCTCTCCCTGTGTCTGTCTGTCTCTCTCTCTCTCTTACTTGTTTTTTTTCCTTTCTCAATTCCTTTCATCGTATAGCAATGCCTTTTAACCCCCTACACGGACGTCTCTTTTCTATTCTTGGTTTCTTGTTGATCTGCTATCGCTCTAACCATTCTCTTTATCCACTCATAATGTTGACCTTCCCTCATAGTTTCTCCATTTCCTAATAACCGCAATCTCACTGCTTTCCCCTGCTCATGCTTTTCTCTTGGAAGATCAACCCTTCCCTTTCCTCCCTCATGCTCATGTTGAAGCCTTGCTTTCGTCGGTTCAATTTAATTGCGTTGCGTCAGGTCACCATAGCTACCACACCGTTCCTCGCTATAAACAGCAATTTGAAAATCATAAGAGACTATTCAAGGGAAGGGAATATTTCCATTTTGTCATTAAGCCGATAGAAAACATGGCACATCAGACTGGAGAGTAATATTATGATCAAACAACTTGTTTGATATTGAGCACTGTAATAACCTGAAGCGGTCAATTCTAATGAAAAATTGAAAAGAATGAAAAACATCGAGAAATCAGGCCAGTCTCATGAATGATTCTTAAGATTTAATCTGCGTCAAAGTAACGGAATATAATTTAATTTTTATATTTGTTTTTATTTTTGTGTCCGTTTTAAAATATTTATACTAGCAAACAAATTTATATCATAAAAAATGAATAACGATAATTGGAAAAGGTCCCATATCTAGAATATTAATTGAAGTAATTATAGAAATCTAGAAGAATTAGGTACGGAAAAGCAAAAATTGCATAACGTTTTTTCTTGAAATTAAACTAAAGACACGGCAAGAAGGGAAACTTAGATTTAATACACCATGTCTATATTACATGGCGTTTCTTTTAGAAAGGAGCTTTCTCCAGTAGAATAACCAAAGTTGACTATCTAGTGAGCTATACCTCATGATTATAATCGATTGAGAGGTATAAATAGAGAAATAGGAAGAAAAAGAGATAGATAGAGAAAAAGAGGGATAGAGAGAGAAAGAAAGAGAAGAGATAAAGGGGAGGAAAGAGAGAAAGAAAGAGGGAGATAAAACCTTATTCACATTTCAGTATCTCTTTCACTGATCTCTCAACTCCAATGTAGATAGCTTGACCTTCTTGGCTCAAGATTTGAATCTTTTATCAGGCTTTATCTGTGTAAAAATGTCGCCTGCATTTTTGATTCCGCTTTTTCTGAAAGCCACTGAGAGTTTCATGGTCACCATTATGAATACACAATCCTTCGCTTATACCTCAGTCTATACAGTCATGTATTCAAGCCTAAACATCCGTTCATGGCGCCGGTGTTCTTTTACCCATGAGTATTTTATGTGCACATGAGTCTTTGTTGATTATCTCTGTATTTCTCTCATGATGTCGCAATACTTTCATATCTTATTAAGATTATCGATTATTTAGTCTTTTGAAGAAGAAAAAAAGTGAGACTCAAACGAGAGAGCTTGTGCATGTTTGCCGGAGATGAATGATATCATACTCTTTAGTAGCTAATGCATCTTTTTGGGATCAGAAGCAGGACACAATTATACAAAATAAAATGTTGGACAAAGACATTTGATATCATTTATGATGAAATAGCAACTTTAACAATGAATAACGATATTCCTTCAAGATAAATTTCTCGACCACCATATTTTCCGCATTTCAATTCCAAATCGGTATCATATTCGAATGAAGTTCTTTCAAGTAAATTGATGACAGAAAGGTTAATTTTGTTTTCAGTAGTTGTTAAAAAATTGGATGTGTGAATACAAACTCCCGTTCTTTATAATACCAAATCCTATCAAAATTAATGACCCACACGTTTCTATATTTGTCACCAAACATCTCCATGTTTTGTACAATTGCTTTTAATCACAAGTATAATAAAATTTCACCGAAGACTAAGAGGAAAATATGTATCACCATTAGTGAGCTAAGCACCCCATACGCTCTTAAAGAGTAAGATGGCGATGTTGCTTCAAATTACTTAAATTAATGTGATAAGGATAATTTGTATTGATTTATGCATCATTACAAATAAAACAATGTATTTCATTAAAAATATATATATAAATACTCAAAGTATTTTGTTTGGTGTACTATTAATATCTCCATTTTAATGTTGCAATTAAAACAAAGTATCAAGAAAGGAAATTATATATACAATTTAATCGTATTATATGAGGTATTGTTGTATCTCAATTTGCAGGTAATTGATTGTTTAACACATGTTTCACACTCATGTTGATACTATTGCACGTCATTAATTTCTTCCCTCCACAATTCTCATTACAGATAGCAGTTTTATTCTAGCCAACGCGAGGGTAGTGGACTACCCTATAGTCTTTAGCAACGATGGGTTTTGTAAAATGACGGGTTTCAACCGAGCAGACTGTATGCAGAGGAGTAGCACCATCAATTTCATGTATGGAGAATTGACCAATCAAGATGGCGTCAAAACCGCCCAGGAGGCCTTCGAAAAACAAGAAGCAGTTCAAGTGGAGTTACTCATCTACAAGAAGAGCAGTAAGTTGGGCATTATTTGATGGGAACAAAGGACTATAATTGTAGAATACTCGCTCCACAGCACAAGTGATGATAACCTTTAGCCTAACCCTGTATGGCCTAATACTAATCCTAATCCTAATTCTAACCTTATACACCATTAGTTTCATGTATGGAGAATTGACCAATCGAGAAGGCGTTAAAGCCGTACATGAGGCCTTCGAGAAATAATAGGCAGCCCAAGATGAGTTACTCATCTACAAGAAAAGCAATACGTTGGGGATTTTATTATTCGGGGTGGGGTAAGGGACGACTTCAGCATACTCACCTAGATAACGTAACAATAAACTTAACTAACTTATTTGTACCATTGCTTCTTCTAGACCTCTTTACTGCTACTTCTACTTTTACTGTGGCTGCGGCTGCTGCTGCTGCTGTTACTTCTACTGGTACCATTACTGCTGCTGCTGCTGCTGCTACTACTACTACTACTACTACTACTACTACTACTACTACTACTACTCCTACTACTCCTACTCCTACTACTACTACTATTACTACTACTACTACTACTACTACTACTACTACTACTACTACTACTACTACTACTACTACTACCACTACTACTATCACTACTACTACCGCTACTACCACCACTACTACTATACTACTACTACTACTACTACTACTACTACTACTACTACTACTACTATTACTACTACTACTACCACTACCACTACCACTACTACCACTACTACTACCACCACTACTACGACTATTACTACTACTACTTCTACTACTACTGCTATAGTACTACTACTTCTACTAATTCTACTACTACTGCTACTGTTATTACTACTACTACTACTACTACTACTACTACTAATAATAATAATAATAATAATAATAATGTTACTACGACTATTATGACTTCTGTACTACTATCAAAAAATAACTATTAACTATTGTTTCATTGTAAGCATGGCACCTGAACTGGGCCAATATACTTTATGTTTATTTGAGCCTCTACGCAGTTTGTTTGCAACGGACCTGATCCAAATTTTGTCTCCTAAAACCATGATCATTTGTTACAGGGAAATATTAAGATTTTACAAAAATATAAATGATGCACTTTAAAAGTTGAAGTTATTATATGCACTAACACCTGCGTGTAAGGTCAACTGATGTCAGTCTAGTGTTAACGGACATGTCAACGTGTTTGTCTTTACCACTCTCTGACTTTACAACAATAATTATCTGAAGGCGGATTAGTAACCAGAAAAGTCCTACATTTTATACAATCTACAATTTTGGTTACTCATTTATCATTCATGACCAAACGTAAAACGATGGAGCGGTGTAAGTATTGTCGGTTTACAACTCATTTATATTCATAGTTTGTCTCGCGTTCATCTCATAAAACAAATGACTTTATCGCGTTGTTGTCTGTCTCATTAAATTCTTAATAAGCTTTCTGCCAGTGATGATTGATGTTAGAGTTCCTCTTTGGAATGTCTCATATGTCTTGACATCTGTGTAAACTTCATTATTATACCTTTTTCCTCAATAAAATTGTTGGCCATAACGTCGGCAAATCCCTTTTACGCAAGCTAGAACTTCCAGAGCAAAGGTATTTATCGGTTTTAAAGAGATAATAATACATTCAGCCTTAATAAGAGGAAAATAAAGAAGAAAAAAAAAATGTTCTAAAAATCAGCAACTAACTGCACAGAAGATTTTGATTTTCATGTACACCTTTTTTGTGTAAAAGTGACGACCTAACCATTTTGGAAAAAGAAATTGTGAAAATGGGGGCATTCACGTAGAAGCATCATAAAGGTGGCTTAGTTAGAAAAGTTCATGGATAAAATGATCGTTTTCAGTAAAAAGTTGATGCCGACGGTATGTTCAAGCCAGAATTATAACCTCTATCGCCAAGGTTATAGAGTCTTTTGGGAAATGCTTTATTTATAACAAAAAGTAAGAAGAAATAAAAGGGGAACCTTCTAAATTTAACCTCCTAAATTGCTTCGATTAAAAAGTCATTAGAAGTTTCATCAATTATGCATAGTGCCCTCCAGCCGACCAGTGACTGCCAGAGTACCAAAGAGGTTTCACCTCTTGATCTTTTTATGTTCATAATTATGTTCGTCATAGAACCTTTTTTGGTTTCAGAACATTTAGAGGATGGGGGGGGGGGCACAACCGACCTTTACACCCCCCTCGAAGCCCCTTTGGCAGACCATGTGGCAGATTAGCTTTCGGCTAAACAAATTATCCAATGATGTATACTAGTGCAACAAAAACAAAAACAACAGCAACAACAACTACTTCAAATACTTCAGTGCACAACAAACGTTGACGCTGCATCGAGTGATTTTTCGTAATTTTTTAGGAATCGTGCCCCGTCTTACAAAATTCTGGAACCACCCTTGTCCCCGCTCAAACATTAGCAATCGGTTCGTAGCATTCGCCATCTTTAATCACAAATTACCTTTGTGAAAATAGGGTGAATTTTCGGTCAATACGTGATACTCATGTCATTAAACTTCATGTCTCAGGGATAAGGTTCAGAAGGTGACGGCCAAGCTCTCAAAAGCTGGACCTCACTTATAATGAGCTAATTAGAATCATAAGCGTGTGAGAAATATCACAATTCAACCTGCGTGAGCCTTATTTATAGTCCAAAAGTACAGATATAAACAGAATACGACTCACCATATATCGAACTATCTTGGTTACTTTAGTTGGTTCTATTTGTTGTATTTAGATCAACATAGGGTAGATAGTTATATTCTAAGCTATTGATGCAACATTTACAAACCTTTATTTTTAAGAAATGAAAGCAATACCTCTTATGTCTTCCTTAGAAAGCCCCTGGCTTTTATTTGCTTTTACAAAGTCATATCCGATTTTGGAAAAAATGACCACTATGTATTGATCACTCGCTACCATTCCACTCGATCACGAAGCCTCTTAAACAATCATGTACTGTACGAGAATGGATTACTAACACGTCTTGTGAAGGGGAAGACAGTGTCATTAGTGCCTTCCGGATATTCCATCTGCATGATGAAGTTATCATCAGGGGCACTTGCTAGAAAGGGGGCGTCCAACCAAAATTTGTCGAAAAATTAGGTGAAAATTCTCAAACTCTATTATATAGACTATTCTCTTTTCTGCAGTAAACAAGTCTATATGTCATGTAAATGACCCCCTGTTTGTCGTATAAGCACGGAACATTCGGATGGTAAATTTTACATTCTGAGGCATTCAAGGGGGTTATATATCACGGATCATGTACACCAAAACAGAGGACACACCCTGACCGCAGGCCGCAAGGTGTAATTCTGAAAAATCAAGTACATCAAACCCTGTTTAGTACCTCCACCAGAACTGTATTCCTACTTGATGGGGTGCAAGGTGTGACCCACCACTTACATTGAGAGGGGTGTAAAGGTGTTTGCCATTACCCCCCTACGTCATCGCCAGTGACTGATGATACTGTGAACCTGTCTATGTAGTCAACCCTCGGGTGAGTCGTAAACACTAAACGGTGTTAACTCGTCTACCTTCGTGAGAAAAACTCGGCCCGATTCGTTAAAAATTCAACAACTGTGATTGGCTAACAATTCCCCTTTGTCGGCTGCTTTATTTTTGGATTGATGACAAAGAACATGAAAGGGTATATATCACAGGAACGTTAAGAATTTAAAAAAAAACATTTTTATACAAAATTTGCTTGACGATGTAGACGGCTGAAGCACATAAGATATACGTATGTCCCTCAAATATCTATATAAAAAAATTGATAATGAAATGAATTGTTGTATCTCTCATTTCTATAAGATTTAAAATTACTAACGAAGACTATGAATATTGATAAGTCTTTGATGAATGGATGAAAGTTGTAAGTTTCATCCACACTCCCTTATTTTTAAGCTCTTACATTCAATAATGCAAGGGCTCGTTCGCCAAGTGATTTAGTATATTCTCAGAAACAGACGACCGACATTAAAATTTCAGAGGACGCAGGAAAGTTGCGCACATAGAACGTAATTCATGATGCATCATGATCAAAATGTATTTTATCAAGATAATCTCGTCTTGTTCTTTCCGTTTTCTGACCAACGTCCGTCCTTGGTAAGGATATTAAAAAAATTTCCCTGCAGTCATTTGTCTTCTACTTATATTTTACAAACGTGGCGAATACATGGACACACACACACACACACACACACACAAACACACACACCACCACACCACACACACACATATATATATACCCACACACGAAGATTGGTCACATATCTTTATCCTGGTTGAGCGCAATACAATTAGAGTAATCGGATAGGAATTTACAAAAAAAGACATATAATGATTTTAAGGATTAAGTGATTATCGATGTGCTGGAACGCCGACAATACCAATAAAAGTAATGGTTCATTTGTTTTATAATCAATTCCATTACTACACCAGTGCTTTATTCAGCACAGAGTGGAACTGGTATATGCCCCCTTTTTGTGAACCACCCCCTGAAAAAAATCAAGTACATACAGTGGTACAGTGGGTGTTTGGAGGAAGACTGGGTACAATCGCCACTTCTACATCCTCCTGTTTCTTAACGTGTGGCTACGTCACTTGTTAATATTTCCCTATCCCCTATATGTCCTATCCCCTGACAACCAATCTCTGATCACCGACTGGCACAGCCTGATTACTAATCGATCACTCACCCAATTTAAAGTAAAGAAACCTCTCTTGTATTAAGCGATCTCTCATTAGAGTGATCGATTGCCTAATCTCTGTCGTCTGCAGCCCGTGGTTTGACTTAGGTGTATTAGTCCCATTTGCAGGGAAGTGGTTTTGGTAGCATGCTATACTCGTAATGTGATACAGATAATCAGGGGATAATCTATTTTGGGTATACGTCTTCTGAACAAGAGGCGTAGCGTATTATGAGGGGGATATTTGTTTTACTTGGATGATAGCCAGGGTCATGGCAGAATATCACTCTGATATGTAGAAAACATGCATTTCGAAACAACCGTACTACAACTTCTAACATGCAATAATTACTGGATTTTTAAAGCGCCTTTTCACGAAGATACAAAGCGCTGGATACTATTATTACCCAGGCTTTTGCCGAAGCTTTCTTTCCTTTTTGTTTCAGCTAATTGAGGGACATACCTCTGTCGCGGGGCTGCGCCTCTGCATGGACAATTTTATGTGAACAGAAATTGGGAGTATAACTTGAAAGAAAAATCGTGCAGTTTTTTAGAGAGTTGAAATTGCGTTAGCATTATAATTACTTTCTAATATCTCAAGATAACCGTGAAAAGACAATCTCTTAATATGTAAAACTAATTTCAGTGTGCCTTCTGTCGGAACTAACCTTCCTTTCCTCGCCAAGCTAAAGCATCGCATGGCAGCACTTGCGGTTTTCATAATTCATTCGTATTCATGAAACCTAATCAAACATAAAGCTCATCTGGGATCGGTCACGTGACCGCATACTTCATCAAAACAGTTCCCATAACACAGCCCACACAAGTCAGACAAGGATTTTATATTTTTAATTCTCGGGGGGGGGGGGGCTGGTGATGTGGGTAGGGACAATTTGATCCTCCAAATCTCCGCAACGATGCCATGTAGCCAGATAGATAGATTTTCCCAAGCTTTTGTGTCAAAATGTATTTTCGGGAAACCGGGGGGGGGGGGGGTGGAGGAAAAGAAGTGCGATATCTGAAGGTCTTGAATTCTTGTACGAATGAGGGATGAGTAAACGTATTAACCTTTTGTCATTAAAGGAGGTGATTCAAAAGTGTCACCAAGAATTTTTATCTTGATAGTTTAAGGTCTATTATAAAAGCACATATTTTGGTCAATGCTCACACATTAGCAGAGGTAAATTTGAAATTTGTGCACATCTAGCTTCTTATAATAATTATAGTCAACATGTTGCATGGGAATCTGATTGGTCAATACGTGACTCGGTTTATTGTCTAGCTCATTATACAGATTGATTAATGGCATAACGAGATAACCACCCAACCAAAGAATCCCGTCATATTCAACTCTCTCTCTCTCTCTCTCCATCTCACTCCCGATCTTGCTTTGCCTTTGCCTTTCCATTTGCTTCCAGCTCGGCTCTTCCTCTCCCACTCTCCCTCTCTCCCTCCCTTCACCCCATCTCCCGTACTTTCTATCCGTCTCTTCAAGGCCATCCATTACCACCAACATGAAACAATTGAATGTCAAGACTGTCATGTTGATAGGGATATCGTGCGATCATTGCTGTCTGCCTAATCTTCAGCTGATTGAATGACGGATGTAAAGTGTGTCGTCGATTAGAGTTCAGTTTACCATATCAGAGTGTGTACGTCACATGCATGAAACCTATCCGATAATCACGAACAGGGGAGGCCATCACGGCGAGGGGAACAGGACCAAGTACCTCCCCCCCCCCCCGAACAAATTAAAAATTGCATCAATAATACACTAAAAACGGTCTTCATGTTACCGACAGTAAACCCTGTAATATTCTGTAGTGCACGATAATGCAAAGATTTGGTATTCCCAAATGGTAAATTTTCTATAGTTCGGTCGCTACCCCCTCTCGGATAAAGCCTCTGGAAACGAAAAGAAATCGCTGCCACTGGTCACAATCGAGATTGGTTTGGTAAAGATTTTATCCTCATGTCTTGACAGAGTCAAGTTCGTACGTTAATGACATTATATACAACTGAAGCATTGCTGAGGTAAAAAGTAAAAAGTTCAGTTAAAACAGGTATCGACAGTTTAAACGAGTTCAAAAGTATTGTTACTTAAAGGTAGCCATCAATTCATGCAAAATTCAGCACATCTTCTGTGCATTAATAACATTTACTTCCTGAACGAGTTAATATTCTCTTATTTTTTTACTTTTTGTTAGAATTAGTATATTACCTATTTTTAGAAAATGAAAAGCAGTGCCTTCAGAGATCAGCTAGGCCATTATTTCTTTAACAATACAGGAATATAATGATGCAGACTGCAATATACACATGGATTTGCGGTTTTCTATAATGATATTGTGGCGCTCTATAGCTGTCCAACGGTATGAGAAATGGCGGAGTTCTTCAAAAGCGATATTATTAAATGCGCATTGCTACTTCGAGACTATAATTTGCGCTTTATAAAAAAAATAACCTCACTTTCTATGCACACTACTTGCGACACTTTCGTTTTCAAATAGTATTCCATTGTTGTCGTCTTGTCATTTCTTCGAAATGTGACTATGTGTGGCGTTTTATTATTGATTTTTAATTTTGTAAAAGCATATCACATTTTATTGTAATTTTTTAAATAAACATAACGAAATAAATCTGCGATAGAAAAAGTGCAATTATATTAACCCTTTTCTATTTTTAATCTGCCTCCCCCTCTCTCTTTCTTTCTCTTCCTGCTTCTCTTTCTTCCCCTTCTCCTCCTCTCTCTATTCATCTCTTCACATCTCCCCCTTCCCCCTCCACCTTCTCTTTCCGTACAGGGACGCCGATGTGGACCTTAGTACAGATCGCGCCAGTCAAAGATGACAGGGAACAAGTGGTCTTATTCCTCTGTGTGTTCAAAGACATCACGGCACTCAAGCATCCGATTGAAGACAATGCCGCTAAGGGTATGATTATTACAATTTCCCCACTTTGACACAGGTCATGCGAACTATATATAGACCTTAAACGAGTAACGAGGGAACATTACCTGGATGATGTAAGGTATCAAAATTATGATGGTTGTGTTCTACTGTAAAAAAAAAAATGGCTTATACTTCTTAAATATGTCAACTATTTAGTAACAGATTTAGGAATTATGGATTTTACAGTGAAGGTATGGTGAGTATAGGTCTTCTTTGACAAATGAATCAGTTGCATGAATAATAGTAATACTAATAAAGATGATATATAAGAGTTCGGTCTTATTTACCTTACTAAGAATAGTTTCTCTCTCTCCTGCGGGCCCTGGAACCATTATTAACCCAGCTTTGCCAGGTAGCCATTTGATACACCCGGATCACAAGAGAAGAGAGACAAGGTGTCGGCACAACACCTTGTCCAAGGATATTAACATCGAGCTAGGATCGAACTCGGGATCTCTCGCAGGAGAGTCAAGAGCCTTCACCATAGGGCTCCCACTTTCAAATTTGAAATTTGAGGTTGTCCTTTAATCTACATAAAAAAAGATATTCTTATCAGCTTTAGTCGAGAGCTGTGCAACTGGGTGATTCCCACTAGCTTTGCTTTGGAGCCTCGTTTCTGCAGTGCACGTCACTATAGCTTACCAAAATAATCCACATGAATAATAAATTCTAGAACACATGCTTATGTTCTTCAAATGTCATTCATCTATAATTCAGATTTAAATGAGCTACTTATAAATAAATGAAATTGAGAGTTGGTAGAATATCATTGACATCAGGTTTATGAGCACATTCTATTTTGAAGAAAAAAAATCAATGAATGTATTATTTCCTAAAAAGATGGAGAAATTTGAAAGCTAATGAATATGATTCTCTTTTGCACATAATACATTTGAATAACTACTGTATCAGCACAGCGGGCGACGCGTCGGTCCGTCTTCCTGACGAGAACCGGCGCCTTAATATTTATCCATAAAGTCTTATAATACTCTACGGAGTGATTTGCAATTAACAGGGAAAATAGTCCCCCCCCCCCCCGATTTGACGATCCTGTTTTATGAATATTCAAAATATATTTCTTCAGAAAATACTAGAACGTACCAAGGTGTTCATGACTCATACAGTTAAATGAATTGATGAATGGAATGATGAATGGAATGAAGTAAAACATTTGCCCTACAGAGGCTTTAGGTGATTTGTGAATAAATATACACTGTATAATTATGTGGTGAATTTTCTTTAAATGGGCTTGAAGATAACCATATAAATATTCATACGATAAATACATAAAATAAAAATGTCTAAAAATAAAAATAAAAATAAAAATAACCAATGATACGTGAACAGGTCTTCTACACATGTACATGTATACTCATGGTTTGAGAGACCCTTCAAATATCGTGATTTTCTTTTGTTTTATCTCGTTGTATGTTTACATTTCAGGTGTGGGTCGGTTTGCAAAGCTTGCACGGACAGTTACCCGGAGTCGATCCGTGTTAGTACAGGTCGCTCAACATCTACCAAATATGAAGCAAGAGCAAACAAAGCAGGCACAGATTTCACAAATTTCACATGTAAGTACAAACATTCCTCTGGACATCATCTCAGATATTATGGGTGAATGAATTTGAAGTTCAACAAATTTAAAGGTAAAGACCAGTTATGGTCATGCGATTGCATTGTGAAAGAAACGTTGTGGAATCGATCAGAAAAGGTTGATCATCTAGCATCTAGCATCTGCAAGGTTCTGGAATCATCAAAATGATAAGAAATTTGGCCCATTCTTCGTAAAGTTACAAGCACTATACACAGAAAGATGTATATGGGACTACCCTATATCTCTCACAGACCATGAGAGAAACAAATTTACCAAATATATGAATTAGTAGGCGGTTTCCCGGCAAATTTGTTATCATCATGTATTAGTCAAAACATATTCTTTCACATGATTGGTAATGAGAGCTTCCATTTCATTTTTTGAAATTGGGGCGTTACCAATACTGGTCTTTACCTTTAAAAGATTATCATATTCATAAAGTGCAAGCAAAGATGATGTCCAATACAATTTGTATATAATACGCAAAAGTGATGAACATGTTAAACTTGGGGGGATCAATTAATGGTTTACCATTAATTGGTATTTAACTATATTTGCCAGACCTTCAAAACATTCATGCCACAATCCTGTCGATAAGCAGTGTAGGCGATTCCTTATCGAATTCATCAGATACTGTATGTTGCAAGAGCTGTCGAAAGTTTGAAGATGATAGAATACAATCGCAAAAATACAATTATTGGCATGGAATGTACAGTTTTCATCTTTTGATTATTATCATTATTTTCTTTTTGCGCCTTTCAATTTTTCTCTCACATTTAAGGTTACTTGATTACTTGTTTAATCAAAAAGGTATTTTTTCTGTCTGTAATGCCAAATTCGTTTTATGCATTTAATTTTATATTAAAGGCCTATACAGAGTGACAGAAATTGCGCTATTTCTTCTTGTTCATCTCATTTAAATAAAATTACAATACTTTGTTGAAAGAATGGAGGTCATGTACTAAAAATCTAAATGCTAGTCTTTCTTCTCTTTTGGTTGGTTGTCTTTCCATCCATTAGATGATGACCCTTGATGCTGAGGTCCTACCGCAGTACAAGCGAGAAGCCCCCAAGACACCACCACATATCATCCTTCACTACTGCACATTTAAGACTATATGGGACTGGGTGATTCTCGTACTGACTTTCTACACAGCAGTTGCAGTGCCTTTCAATGTGACCTTCAACTATTCTACTAACAATGAATACATCACTCTTGTAGTCATCGACGGTAAGGACGAACACGACAACGAATCACTATACGATCACCTATGAATTTTGAATTTGTGAAAAACGTTCATAGCAAGGCCCAAAGATTACCCCCCCCCCCCCCACACTCACGGAGGAGGGGGGGGGGATTTTGAGTATTTTGTTAGGGAAACAGGTTATAAAATTTCTGACAAGCAAATAAACAAACCAACAACACCAAGAGCAACACAAGCTGAATGACTGTACATGTATATTCGGGCATGTTGGGGGAAGGGGGTGGGGACAAGCGAATATGAGGATAATTGTCCCCTCACTCCTCTGCCCCCTCCCCGTAACCACTCATAAGATTGTTATTTAAAAATGTATACTATTCGTGTAATATTATGTCTTGAGATGTTTCTTACTTTTTTACGTAAAAGCCAAATTAGTAGGGCTCACACACACAAAAACAAGGATTTGCGCGTTGATCCAAAACCCACAATATGAAATTGCTTATTGTATCTGACGACGCGAAATAGAAAGTGGTAATGAACAAATAGTTCTACGGTGTTATGCTATAATTGATTTTTATCTCAAATAGTCATACTCATTTTTATTTGTTTTTTAATATTCAGGTATCGTCGATATCGTCTTCTTCATCGATGTCATCCTCAACTTCCACACGACATTCGTTGGTCCTGCAGGCGAGGTCGTGTCAGAGCCCAAAATCATACGCATGAATTATCTCAAATCTTGGTTTATTATCGATCTCCTATCGTGCCTCCCTTATGACGTCATCAATGCATTTCAAAATTCTAGTAATGTAAGTAATGTAAGTAATGTAGAACATTGTAATATTTGCAAGTAATTTGTAAGTAATGTAGAACATTGTAATATTTGCAAATCATTTGGGATCTGAAAGGACATCAGTAGAATAACGTCTTATTTTGTTATTAATTTTTTTATTAACCGTGTTTACACGATGGCAATTTTGATCGGGGTAAAGGTCGTGTTTGGAGCTAGTCGGCATAAGTATGGTTAGGTCCACGTAAAGGTACGCGTAGTGACCGTCTGAACGATAGTCGTGTTAGCTACACCGACCTTTACGCCGACTTATTTACTCTTGGATTTTTCCAGGAGCACTTACACGACTAGAGGGTAGCGTAAGTTGACCGTGTGGATGCTCTCACTTGGCACTCGGAGCATCTTTGACCTTTCAAAAGAATTGTATGACTTGAATTTTATACTTCCGAAATCAAACCTCCAGTGTTTAACACATGCGAGTTTTTTGATGCCTGAAGAGTAATTTTTTGAATGGTTTAGGAATATGTATGTTTACAATCCAAAATGAAACTTAAGGGGCTTTCACACCGGGCCTTGCGTAGAGTTGCGTAGAGTTGCGTAGAGTTGCGTAGCGACTACGCCGATCGTACGCAACCCTACGCCGATCGTACGCAACCCTACGCAACTGTACGCGGAGGGACGCGAATGGGTACGCGAGATGAACGCAAAAAATTAAACATGTTTAATTTTTTTCGCGTACCTTCGGCGTAGACTTTACTACGCAACTGTACGCCAAGCCTACGCAACTGTACGCCAAGCCTACGCAAATGTACGCCAAGCCTACGCAACAATACGCTACCCTACGCCAGTCCGACGAAGCATTAAAAACGTATGGTATAAAGATTTTTTTTTGTATATACCTGGATGTAAATTTGGCAGGTATTGATCATTGATCATTCTTGCTTGTAATTCTGTTTGTACTACTACAAGGTATTTCAGACTGACATGTTTTGTTTTGTTATGGTTTATTCAATTTGTGATAATTGACATCTCAGGCTGTTGATATAATAAACAGAGATAAGATTCATAAACTGATGCCTCATGCGAAATGTTATTATGTTTTGTGGAAATCTGTATGTATTTGTGTCGGTTTGTTTGCTTGTGTGTACGTTTGTGGTCCTGTTTGTATGTTTGTAATATAATATTGTTTAATTGAAATGAGCAAAGAAATAATTTTGTATTAAAGTATTTCTTTAAATCTAATAATTGACTAACATTTATATCATTACATTGTCACACACAATACGCTACGGACCAAGGACAACAGATATCGTCTTCAAACTTTCAGGAAACTGTTATGGAATGATATTTTACAAATGAGTGAAAAAATGGATATGGTCAACAAATATCAGACTTCTGTCCACATTTATTCACAAATCAAAATAAGCGCTCTCTTTTGTTGGCGTTTTGAGGTATCAAATCACATCACGTGACCTTGCAATGTTCATCAAAAGAAAGTTCATGTATTACCCTTTTGAATGATACATAGTACAATAATGTAGTACATCAACAAAAATGTCTGCATTTTTTGGAAAATAAAATCTTGAACAAATTAACATTACTGCAAAAATAACCTCAGCAGTTGCTAATACCTACTAAAAAAAACTGAAAATTTAACGGTCAAAAACGTGTACCAAATGCTACTATTAAAACTTATGGCAGGTTTATAAATGTTATTTTCCGCAATCACTATTTTACGCAAATTGGCGTTTCAGCCCTATTTCACGCATGCAAAAGAGACCCACTGCCCCTTGGGTGTGTCAGAATGTTATTATTATACTAAGATCAAGTTATGTTCACATGTAATAACATGTACAATTCTTTGTACACTGCACAGTTCATATTGAACTGTTTTTAACATATTTTTTTATTATATATGTTTATAAAGCGCCTATGGCTATACTCGCGTCTATAGCATTTTTACATGGCATTTTCGCACACAGTAAGCAACCGTACGCAACCGTAAGCAACCCTACGCCATGCCTACGCAAGCGTACGTAACCCTACGCCAGGCCTACGCAAGCGTACGTAACCCTACGCCAATTGCCTACGCACAGGGTACGTAACTATACGCCGATCGTACGCAAGCCTACGCAGGGACTACGCCGAAGCATCAATTTATTCATGAGTACGCAGCTTAACTTCGGCGTAGTCGGTACGCAACACTACGCAACTCTACGCAGATCCGGTGTGAAAGGGGCTTTAGGATTTCGCGGGGTTTAAATGTGAAAGCTGGGTGAGGTCGACTAGAGCGGGCGCCACCACTTCCGGAAATCACGCTTAGTAAGACTGGGTCGGTGAAAGGTCGTGTTAACTTAATCGTTGCAAGTTGGTCCGAGAAAGAGCGTATGGACAACCAATGGTGTAAGTCAAATATTCATGAAATATTTGCTGCAGGGAAAAACTTACGCCGACTAGGAAGTCACGTCTGAATATGGCTAATGTAGATTAGCACTTTATAAAGAAGGTTTCCACAAGCGTGGTAGTTTAGCCACAACTTGAAATAATTATCTAATGTATTCCTTTGTCAGCTCCCACCCCTCTCTCTCTCTCTCTCTCTTTTCTCTCTCTCTCTCTCTCTCTTTCTTTCTCTCTCCTTCTGAGCCCATCTCTTTCCTACTCTTAAAGTCTATTCCTCTCTTTTTGTCAATTTTTCCCATGTTGTCCTTATATACATGCAATGCATGATAATGAGAATCAGGTTTGATGTTATAATTGTTTGTATAACAAATCTGCTTTATCACCCTTTAATGGCATTGATAGATAAATTTGAAGAATAGACACATCACTAACATTATATGCATTACAAAAATAATTGATTGTGTTCATATCTTAATTTTACTTATTTGATTAGCATGCATTGGAACAGTTTAATGAACGATTTTGCAATGATACTATGGCTGGCATGTCAAAAGACAAAATTCTTCTCTTTTGTTGTACTCTCTCGAGAGGGAGTAGGCGCTACAGTGCAATAAAATACAAAAATAAAACGTGCATCTTATGCCATAAAGTCAAGGCCTTTGCTCTCTTTTTGGCGCTCTTACCACTGTGCTACCATGGCAACAGCATCACAACTACAAAGCACCGTCTGATACGATTTTATACATCTCTAACAAATCTTGTTTTTAAAAGACCACTCCTTTAATTTGAGGCGATTGCCTGCTTTCTCGTTACCGGCGTTGCCATGCCTTTTGATGAAAAATAGAAAAGACGGCTCTGCCTGGTATCAAAAGCTGACACAATGTCATGTGACTTTTGCTCTCTCCTGTGTCCTGTTTGTGGCTCTATCGTATACATTTCCTTTCATTCCAAGACACTTCTGACCTATTTCGTTAGCTCTCGATTGGATTCGTGTGAGGAGAAACAGGTTGTTAAAAAGCACCGAAATTTACAGTGTGCAAACATGAACACGTCAGTGGAGAGAGAGAGGGAGAGGGGGGCAGTCTTCATCAAGAAAATTGAAGTTCACAAGCTCGCTCAAGTACACAACATCTTTCTCGACAGGGTGTAAAAGAAAGAAAAGGAATTAATAGAATCATTGAATAGTCACCATTGTGCTAAAGCACGAGGATGTCTTGATTTATGTTGCCACAGTTACAAAGTTCGATCTACCGAGAAGATCAAAACCTTAAAGCTAAACATTTCATTCACTCTCATCAGGGAAGTAATGCTACATAGCTCAAAATTTTCCTCTTTATCCTCCATCCACCTTCCTTTCTCTCCCTCAATTTCTTTCTTCCTCTGTTTATCTCTCTCTCTCTTTATCTTTGTCTCTCTTTCTCTGTCTGTCTGTCTCTATGTTTCTTTCTTCCAATTTTTTCCTCTCTCCTCTCTCTCCCTCACATACGCACACGCACACACTAATACGCGCACACACAAACATACCCACACTATAGTATCTCAGCTATTTAATAATTTCGTTTTGTAAGCATAGACTACGGCATAGAGTTACAGTTAATCATTATCATATTAATTAGATGTTGAGTAAATGGAATCCCGCAAAGTGATGCCATGAGTGCATAGCAGGAAGAAAGTCAATATAATTATTGACCACATTCAATCTTGCCTCTGGGATTTCTTTCCTATGTTAAACAAATTTGATGTCTGCAAAGGGAAATGCCTTTATCGCACAACCATTATAAAGTAATTCTCAAATTTGTTACTGAAATGGATCGGTACTTCTATTTTACCCAAAAGTATACCCCATTTTATTAATTCATTTTGTAATGTGCATTAAGTATCCATAGACCTATAAAGTATGTAATGATATTCACATTGAAGTGGTTGTTAATGCGATTACAAAGGGTTTTTTTTATTATTTACTGATGTCTTACGTGTGCAAACTTGGAGGCGAAATAGTATTTAAAAAAGTTTAATCAAAGGAAAGAAAAAGTGGCGACATGCAGCTTCTAAACAGTTTCAAAGTGAGAGGGCATGACATGAAATGCCTGAATCATTATTATGCCATCAACATTTGACTAAAAACTTGCATTTCTGACTTCATTTCTCATCAGAACAAAATCAGTGGGATATTTAGCGCCCTGAAGGTAGCTCGTCTGTTACGGTTGGGACGTGTGGTACGCAAACTCGACCATTACATCGAGTACGGGCTCGCCTTCCTCATCCTGCTCATGTTAAGTTTCGTCTTGGTCGCCCACTGGTTCGCCTGCATATGGTACACGATCGGGAGGGAAGCCCTAGGACACAACGACACCAATTCGTGGCTTTGGAAGTTTGGCAACGACATGCATATGCCGTATAAGATCTTAGATAACGGGACAGTGATCAACGGGCCGGACGTAGGGATGGAGTATGTGTCGGCGATGTACTACACGATGAGCAGTCTGACCAGCGTCGGGTTTGGGAATGTGTCGGCGTATACGACCTACGAACGACTCTTTACCATCGGAATGATGATCATTGGATGTAAGTCAATTCAACAAGTAATATTCAACAAAGTTCGATATCCTATCAAAGTTTATATCAAAGCATGATTTTCGCGAAGGAAAGGGGACGTGAGCCATTCCTGCAGATTGACACTTCCCCTCCGTCAGGAGCGGATCCAGTCGGCGGCAGGGGAGGGGGCCTAAGAGGGGGCCCAATTTGAAAAAGCGGGGGTAGAGGGGGGAGGGGGTAGTGAGCACTAGTTTTTTTTATTTTTTTTATTTGGGCCCTCGAAAATAATGAAGATTTGCACCCCCCCCCCCCCCTTGAGCACCAGGCGAGGGGGCCCGTCTCCAAATGAATAAGGTGTTTTTACCTGTTTTTTGCTCAGGGGAGGGGCCCGGGTCCCCCGCCCCCTGGATCCACCAACGCCCTCCATACATTTTCGGATTCGGAGAGGTACCACAATCCAGAAAGCTGGCGGTTAAATAGAGGAAATAGATTGGAAAGGGGGTGGCAGGAGCAATTAGGCAAGGAGGTGGAGAATGAACAAAAAAACAATTGCATCGAAATAAAGTAGCCTACCGGCGCCCCTGATTTCTCAATAGAAATTCAATTCGAGGGATATGAGGTGCTTTAGGAAAACCGATAGCTCATCCATTTCCATAATTTTGTTTTCCTTGATAACACGTAACCTTGTGAATCTTTATCACAAAGGACCATGTTGTCATTGTGTTTGAGCAAAACAACGTCCATATCAAAAGATCGGAAGAGGTCTATCAAAATGATCGACAGCCATACATGCGCACGAGTAACTCTATCCTGTCAAAACCTTTTCCCGAAGCCATCCAAAACAGAACCTGCAAATTAGCAAACGATGCAAAGAAAATTACGTGTGGAGTAAGTTTCACACAAGCAGGCGAAGCATGTAAATCTGATAATATACCTTATTTGTAATTTTAATCAATTTTGTGACAGGAGAGTAAGCTATATAGAGATAAAATCCCTACATTCAACTGAATTTACTGTAAAGAAAGTTTTGGTTAAAAGTGACAGTCTGTGGTTATATGGTTGAATTGTGCATAATTCTATTTAAAACTGATTTAAATGCTGTTGTTGAAATGCCAGCTAAGCTTAAAAGTGTTAACGGATATAATTTCCCGTATTTGTTATTTAAATGCGATTTGTAAACGCACACAGAAAATAGCTCAAAATACCTACAAAGTGCAGTGAATAGTTTGGACAAAATTCGAATGAGATGTGCTAAAAGTTAGTCCCATTGTCAATACACAACCAACTTGTTACTATTAAAAAGTGATACAAAATATTATCAGTATATTCTTGTATAGCGCTCATGTGCGTCACATCGTGACGTACATGCGCCCCGGTATTTTATCCTGGTTATAACATTGTAGCCGAGCAGCTAAATATAGAAAGTAATGTATAGAATTTAGATAAGTAAAGAATGTAACGCTCAAGCATATCAATGACTCTTTGGCACCTGGGTGAGGAGTGGTAAATGAAGATTACTATATTGCCCAATTCTGATATGTTAGTGCGGAGCTGAGATTCGAACCCTTAATCTCACGATTGTAAGCCAGGTAAATGAGCCTCTATATTATTGACATACAACATTACCTTTTGCAGCTCTGCTCTACGCCTGTATCTTCGGTAACGTGACCACCATCTACCAACAATTCACCCAAAACACAGCCCGGTATCATGACATGCTACAGAACGTCAAAGAGTTCATGAAGCTGCATGGAGTCAGCAAACCACTCACCGAACGCGTGCTCGATTACGTCATCTCGACATGGTCGATGTCAAAGGGCATTGACACAGAAAAGGTATTAGTCAATAACCAAACACAATGACATCCTTAGTTGTGTTTATGATGATGTTGGCAATAATGATGATGATGATAATGATGATGATGATGATGATAGTGATGGTGATAGTGGTGATGATGATGATTATGAGATGGTGATGATGATGATGATGATAATAGCGGTAGTGGTGGTAGCGGTGGTGATGATGATGATGATGATCAGTGTTAGTGATGATGATAATGTCGATACGGGGGATAATATTGATGACGATGATGATGATAAAGGTTTTGAGTCGCCCATTAACGTCGATGAGGATGAAGAAGAAAATTTCTGTTATCAGTGGTCAATAGGCATTTTTTTGATGGCCATAAAAACTATGAGTTTTGACCACTCATTATTTCTTAATAAGAACACTTTGATAATGTTCGAAAACATTGTTTCCATCGCGTCATGCACAGCAGGATCATAACAGGTTAAGAAAGTCAATGAAAATTTCATTAGTTGCCATTTGATGCATTTTTCTTATTCATACATGAATTACATTTTAATAATTAATTAAGAGCAAAGTAAATACAGATAGCAAATATTTATGAAAAATCAATTAGCGTAACATATTTAATTATAATACATTCATTATTGCAATGTTCAAGTTCAAGTTCATTTTATTTCACATCCAATAAAAACATCATTATAACATTAAAAATACAATTATACAAAATGCAATATATATAAAATATAATAACAAATAAAACAACAACAGTAACACTAAAATTGATTAATGGGTGGAGTAGGGATGTGAGGGACCAGCAAAGGCCATTGACCTATCTAGGCTGGTCCCCTTTTTCTACAACCCCAAAAGTAAAATCTTCAATAATTAAAAGCAAAATATTGACAATATAGACATTACATTAACTAAGACATATAAACACACATACAAGGACAGGCAGAATGTCAACAACACAAATTAAAAGATGAATACTTCAAAGACAACTGCCAAACGAATTTTGTAGAAATGTAGAACTAGCATAAAAAGATATTTAACCAAACAAGCCGTCCCTGCCACGTGCAAAACACTTATAATGTGCAAAAAGTGAATGATGTTTTGCGGGCTTTTTTTGTTGTTGTGATTTCTGGCAGGATTTTATTATCATACTGATATTTTGCTGGTCAAAACCACTATTTACCGCATTAATTCAGAATTGTTTCGATCAAGATTCTTTCGAAAAGCAATTACATTTTTCCAGAACTGAAGTGAGCTCAAGTGATCGTTGTGAGGATTAGTATTTGATAGGATGTAATAATTCCTGGAATGCTTCAGCGCCTCATTATGGAAGCTCAGCTACAGCCGGGGTAATAATATGATACTTGGTATTAAGCACAGTAGAGTATATTCATATAATTGGACTTACTATTGTTATTATAATCATTTTTTTAAAATGAAATATTCTCTTTCTACTTTGTCTAGGTTTTAAGCTATTGTCCCAAGGACATGAAAGCAGACGTCTGCGTTCATCTCAACCGGCGCGTCTTCAACGAGCACCCGTCCTTTCGATTGGCCAGCGAAGGTTGTTTGAGGGCCCTGGCCATCAGCTTTCAAATGAGCCACAGTGCCCCGGGTGATCTGCTAGTACACAGTGGTGAAAGTATTGACTCACTGTGTTTCGTGGTCGCTGGCTCACTGGAGGTCGTACAAGATGACGAGGTGGTTGCTATCCTAAGTAAGTCATATACATATTGATGTCTGCGGAAGACAAGACAAGTTTTTACATTTCCATTGACGTAGGCCTAAATTGATGTTGACCTAACAAAGGACTCTTTAATCAGAGCAAAAGAATATCAATCGGTGTAACTACAAGCTAAGCGAACCGTTCCAGAATGTCGGCAAAAGGTGTCGTTTAAAAGTAGATATGTGCTTTAAGCCAGTTTCGAATCCCTTGTAGATAAGGTTTAGTGTGTCACAGTGCAAGGTCAGGGTTGAAATAGATATTCACACTGGCAACAACACGAAAACTCACACCATAGCACAGTCTGTCATCTGCTACACGGTGTAAAAGCAGTGTGAGCGCATTCCAAATCCACACTGCAATCCACGATATGTTTACAGTGTGGAACAGATCTATGGCCACAGTGTGTCAGTCGGTATAAACACATTATGTCTAGGTTGCCAACACTATGACAGTGTCCCAATCTAATACACTGAGGTCAAACTATGATGCAGTTCCCTGTGGCCAAAGTCTGTCACCCATTATGAACAATCTTGTAACATGGACATCACTATGACAGAGTTGCAAAACCTCTACTATGTGAGTTCTTTGCGATCGACCGAGTTTAATGTGATAGGAGAGCACAGTATTTTGGTAATCATATGCATGTTAATCACTCTAATTATTATTGAACTGTTAATTTCTTGGTGACCAGGTAAAGGTGATGTAATCGGAGATTCATTCTGGAAAGAGCTAAACCTTGGACAGTCAGCTGCTAATGTCAGGTCATTGACGTACTGTGATCTTCATAGCATCACGAGGGATGATCTTCTAGATGTCCTTGATTTCTACACGCAATTTGCCACTTCGTTCGCTCGCAACATGGTGCTTACCTACAACCTCAGACGCAGGGTAAGTCAATTTCGATGGAACCATTTAGATCCCATTGTTCATTTGGTTTCATTTCTTGGACTGATCGTCAACAGTTAAAATTTCAAACTTCATTATCCTGTAATAAAGCTCACTTGATGCTTGAAAGTAGTATTTCATTTTGATGTTATATGTTATCCACATAACAAATGACTGCAGAAAAAAGTTTCAAAGTTCAAAAGAATTTAAAAAATAATTATGGGATAATATTTGTTCTCTCCACTGCTTGTATCTACAGCTCATTTTCCGGAAAGTAGCTGATGTCAAAAGGGAACAGGAAGAGGCAGAGAAACGGAAGAACGAGCCTCCAATACCAGCTGATCATCCTGTCAGGAAGATGCTCAATAAGTTTCGGAAACTCAGTGACGTACCTGATAAAAAGCCTCCAGCATCGGCAATAAGGAAACCGAGAGGGGATACAAAGGACATTGAAAAGGGAGACTCACATGCTTTGAGCAGAGTTCCTGAGCACCAAACGCCACCGCCTTTAGCAGCGATTGGGAGGGTTAAATCTGTAAAAATGCCAGACGCACCGGTAAAAAGACAAGACAGTACTAAAGAAGTGCCCGAAACCAAATGGGGACCGTTAAAGAAGATACCTCTTCGAAAAGCAGAGAGTACGGACAGTGGGATCCTCCGCAGTGAACAAAGGCTCGATGAGATTGGTAGGAGTGATAGCAAGGAAGGCAGTAGTTCAGTAAGTGCTGCCAGCTCGGATAATCATCTCTTATCCAGTCTCATGGAGATTAAACTTGAACTGAAGGAGGAGATCGAGAACCTGGGGATGAAGATGAATCGCTTAGACGATCAGATTGCTGACATCATCAAAATCTTCTCACCAGACGTATCACAGTACTCGTCCAGTATGGCCAGCTCAAGTAGTTCCCAAATGGGATCTTGTAACGAAGTGCCCTTGAGTTCACCACAGAAATCTCCTATGGTTGTCCAGGTTAGGGAACATGGTGAGGCGTCATCGGACAGTAGCGGTTTGGGTGAGCAAGGAAGCCTTAGTGTGACATCAACAGGTTCGGCAACATCAAGGCAAACCATATCTAGCAATGGAGGTCGAAGTCCGACAGCGATAACCGGGCGTCGGGGACCTCCACCTGTAGAGAACACGTTGAACCTCGTTGAACACGATACCCAAGCCGATTCAGGTTCCTCATCTGAGATTGAGTCCCCGCCAAGTCCAGGACCAAGGGGCAATCCAGAATTTTGATCTTTCAAACTCTTTGAAAGCACAAAAGATTAAGGACTTTTTTTAAATAAAAGGCCAACGGAAACTACAAAAATATATCTTGAAAAATCCACCCCTTAATCTTCGAATTATCTTGGATACTTTGGGTAGTGGCATCAATAACGGGAAGACTTCACAATGCACCCTGTCGTAAAGTACATATTGACCAATACTTTGAAAGAACAAAGATATCAGTGAGAACAAAATGTAGTTCAACCAAGTCGTCGCACCCTCACACTGTGGTGCGTAATTGCCACAGTGTGTCAAATTATAAATTCACCGCCACAGCAGTGTGAATACAGTCTTTTCACACTGTCAACGCTACATAAATATTACAGATCATGTCTATAGTCCTACTGTGGTGCGTACTCACTTTGATTTTCTATGTGACCACAGTGTAATACAGCATCCATACTGTAACAAAACAGAGTGAACAAAACCTGTTCACATTGTCAACTGGAATGTCACACTGTGATGCAGATACAATGTGATTCTCGCTGTGATCCCAATATACTGTGAAAACACTGTGAACACAGTCTGCCCACACGGACATCAATGTGGAAATGTACTGAATTCTCCTCTGTTGTCACACCGTGATGTGTACACACTAAGTTTCGTCTGTGGCTGCAGTGTGTGTCGTTGCATCATTATACAGTGGAAACAGTGAGAACAGAGAAAGTGCTCACTGTCCATAATATGAAAGTGTTCCAAATCTGCTAAGTTATCACACAAAGAATGACACTTATGTTCTTTACAGAAGGGCAACCATCATAATTATGAGTCAACAAAATTCTCAACTTCTTTTGCTGAATATATATCAAGGGTAAATCTTAGTTGTTGTATGTTGATGTGATATGTTACTACCCGGAAGGGTAACAACTACCCACATTTTCTACATATTCTTAATCATATCAATTTATCATTGCATTTACAAGACTTTTTTATGCTAATGCCAAATTCTCCTGTAATCATCTTTTTTGTTTTACTTAATTCAGAATTAGTTCTTCTTGTTTTTTGGACAGATCAACACATTAAAAACGTGTTCTAAAACTCCCTACCAACTGTTTTTGCAGTATCCTAAGCTGATTATGTTATTTACAGAGACCAATCCGTAAATTTACAAAAGTCAGTTTTGCTTTAAAAGTGCAGGTTTAAAAAACATAATGATGTACTGCAAAGACAAATATATATTAAGTTGTTAGCATTTAAAGATGAGCGGGATACGGATGTCATAGAACTCTAGCCCTCTGTGCCCATATTCATAAAACCATACTAAGCCTAGCTGTCAACTATGAACTGCAGCCTATGTAATTAGTTTACAATCAGCTTAATAAGATTTTATGAACATGGGCGCTTGCTTCTAGCATCAAATATTACGGTGTTTTTTTAACGCAATTCCAAAAATTCTACCACTCAATACATCCGATCTTTAAACGAATAATATAAAATCCAAATCTAAAGTTGTTCCAATTAAAATCCTATCAGCAATTCTTCGTTTTAACAGAACAAATCAATGGCGTGCTGCAGATACAAATCAACAACAACACTACACAAATAAAGATGAACTATAACCTCGTGATTACTTCATCAAACAAAATCTACGTATTGACCTCTTTGTTCAAATTTATTTTTCTATTTTTAGAAAAAGCGTGTACATAGGTAGATATTAAAATGATGAAAATATTGTAGTATGCTAATATGTTCACTCATTTTTCTTTGTTAATGAAGCATACATTTCGAACAAGGATTGGAGAGATATTATGGTTTATACTTTTATATTGAAGGTTAATTTGTTGCACCAAATTAGGGGTCATCTTATCGGATAACGATTTAATCAATTTATACCTCAGCCACACGGCCAAAATAGTCCGACTCGTCACGAAACTGACCGATTTCCGATGGCCACTGGGGGTAATGCATTGTTTTGTATCGGTCTTTTGTCGGTCTTGTTTCGGTCTGACTGGTCTATAAACAACTCATATTATGATTTGAACAAAGATACGTAAAGGATATATATCGACAAAGTCGAGGTCTGAAAGGGGGTACAGGGCTTAAAGCTAAACTCTTATTTATTTCACGAAACTGAAAAGTGCTGTTGGTTCTAGGGCTATTAGATGAAGGATATAGGCGACAATCTTTCATGAAAGAAATGAAGGAATACAGTAAAATGTTTATTATTTGATGAAAGCAGATAATGATGAAATCATATATTCCAGGTTTAGACTGCATAGATGTTTTTCTAGATAAGGAAACTATCGATCTTTCATCTCGTAATTTATGCACATAGAGCAAGTAAGAAACAATCAAGTGTCAAAACAAATGGAAGTATTCCATTTGATTACGATATTGTTGTATGATGTAATCACTTATACATGTTGTACATACACATTGCGTTTGCACGTATTCAGTTTATGAAAAACAATATTTTATACGTATCGGAATTCCCGCTATTGACTCTTTGAGAAATCTAAATTACCGATGCACAAAATCATCCTGTTTCTCTTATCATTACTCTCTTTGATTTCATGCGAGATTGATAATTATGATTACTTTCAGGTTTTTGAACTCTTCTACATCAAGCTTTACAAAGCATCGTCCGTCGAAGCTGAAGATGGTCATGTAAATATACAGTATATAGTGCTTTTATGTCGATATGGGCAACGAAAACGAGGATTATCTACGTTCATGAATTTATGTCGTATTCAGATTATGTCATAACTTGCGCAATATTTAGAGTTTATATCAATGTAAATAGAAATATAGCCTTACAGATAATACAAACTTTTCATTCTTATATCATCGTGATCTATATATTTCTTAGAAAAATATATATTTGTCGTCCTCGAGCGTTGCATTTCTCACGAGATCTTCATATTCGGATTACTTCAATTATTTAATGAAATTACTGTGGGTGTGTGTTGATTTTTTTTTAAACTACCGAGACAACGTTGTGCCCCTCCCAATATCATGACTTAATTTCTTTCCATCCAAAATGAAACTTCCTGTGTTTATGATAAAACATAACATTTCAAATTTTGATGGTTTAAATATGGTTGGGGTTATTCTTTTTATTCAGAATTGACAAATCATAATACCGAGTCTCTTACACTAATACCTTTTTTGGTGGGGGGGGGGGGGTGGTTTGATCACAATATAATGGAAGTCGCTGAATATAATCATAAATACAATACCATCCACCAAATTTACTTTCATGGTTAATCTCGTTTTCCTAGTTTTAGTCGTCATGTTCTCAATTTCACATATCATTCCTCGGTTATTTGTTTCTCTCCTCTTGGAGAAAAAAATGATTATTGTTCTCACAAACATTGCCTTTTGTCTCATTTCAATGAAAATAATAGAACAATATTTATGTATACTGTACAGATAGACGCTCTTGTTGTAATAGATAAAATTGTGTGAATTTTACTATACGGTGTGCCTTAATGCAATATTTTTCAATTGTGTGCGGGAAGTTTTTCGATGCTTTATTGATTATACGAAATTCCTCTCCGTCAGACAATATCACTATTATAGTTCTAAATTGTGACAGCTTAGTTTCATATATTATCGGACCATACTTTTGAAGCATTAATGATTTTCCGTTCGAACTAGTTTTAATATCTTGCGAGCCGCCTTTATCATAGAAAACTTCAAGGGCTCGGTATGATTATGATGAGAAAAACAAGTACTCTATGTGCTTACAATAAAGGAATGCATTTACAAGATGTAGTTTGTAGTGAGTGATCACACTGACCAATTGCCTATTTCTGTGACAAAGAAAGTTATAAAAAAAAACGTTGTGGTATATTCAAAGCCTTATATTTGAATTTGTATTTGCTAAAGCAATTCGGAAATTACTGTTACATAATGTTATAGTATCCCTTCATTTAGAGCTGTCATTATGATTATAAACAATAATGCCCGGTGTCCTGATATTACATGTGGAGCTTAAGAAGTGTCTCGCAGTCGATTTACAAACTTTTTACAGATTTTGGTCCACATTAACTTTATTGACGACAGTACATTGTGGGATGACAAATATTTCAATACGTAGATGACATAATATCAATATATGTTCCTGAATTTCAACGAGCAAAATGGACTCTTGTTTTATATAACATTTCTAACCGTCTTATTTTATAACAGGCTCTATATTAATTTTGTATACGCAAAAGAGGAATTTTTGCAGTTGTTGCTGTTTGTAATGTAAACTAAATTCAGTCTCGTTTACATTGTGTACTACAATGATATCCAAGACTCTCTAAACCAATGGGGCTTTTAAAGTAGAGAGATCTAGGTAACTTATATTGGAGGGGGGGGGGGGGCAAGAACTGGTATTGGAACCAAGGATGATGTTATTACTATGAATTGATCACTAAAGTAGTTTGAGATAAGTTAAATGCAGAGGGAAAATATACGAATTCTAACTGATTTTGCTGAGAGTTTGAGGTCGGGTGACATCCAAATATAAGTTGATTCATGTTGATGTGCAGGGCTGCATACAACTCCTATTTTGTTATTTAAACATCTAAATATATTTCATAGATATTTAAAAGTTTTTTAGAATAATTTTCTCAGACCTGTTAAGCTCCACCCTAAAAAAATGCTCCAGATCTCATTCATCTTGTGACATCATCTGTCAATCATTAGTAAGCTAACAAGAGACAGTGGAATGTAACTTCCCCCAGCTCAGCACAAAGGAATTGCATTATTTCATACAATACCTCCACATACCTTTCTTTTCATGGTGATGATACAGCATGTCTGACATAGCAACTCATATGTTGGTATTGTATGGTCTATTGTAAATAAGTGGTCAGCTCTGTTGAGCTACATAACACTGTCTCTTGTTAGCTCACTAATGATTTACAGCTGATTTCATACGATGAATGAGATCTGGAGCATTTTTTAGGGTGGAGCTTAGAAGGTTCGAGAAAATTATTTTTAAAAATATTTAAAATCTATGAAATGTATTTAGATGTTTGAATAACAAAATATGTGTTGTATGAAGCCCTGCACATCAACAGGAATCAACTTATATTTGGGTGTCACCGACCTTAAAATCGCTCTGTCAAAATGGAAATTTGTTTTCTTCAAATGGGAGAGTAAAAGATAATAAAATGTTGAAAATTTTATCTTAAACAGAGACAGATAAGCTTTCCTTAACAATTATCAAATGTACGATTTTGGTTTCATTTTCTTGGTGGGTTTTATTCATTTTTAGTAGATAACGTTCCGAAATGTTTGTGATTTGTGTTTACTTGTTTACTTTGTCTTTTTTCCTTTTTTCTCTCTATTTTTTTATGATCTTAACAGAAATGGCTTTTAGTACCATAGGCGTTAAATGAGATGCACAAACAGGACTAATTAATATGTATCGATTTACAGCGTCAAATGCTATAAACATAGTACTATTTAGGCCTTCCTAGCGTCACATACATTTACTTACTGTAGGTTCACTTACAGTAAAACAAACATTCGTTAAACATTTTAGTGAAAATAATCATAATCATGCCATATCGTCAACGATATTTAGTACCAGAACGTGGATGATTACAACTTAATAAAATTACCATCGACATAACTATGGTTGATCTTACATTTAAAACAGGAATTTATTTATATGAAATGGATGTAAAGAATCTTACTTTTTTCTTCTATCATTGTATTGTAATATAGTGTTGTCTTTTTTTCTCCAGTATATAAAAATGGTATATTTTTGCTAATACCGAGTATAGTTCCCGTCCTGTCACTACATATTGTAACCTTTACTATCAACTATGTTACTATATAGATGAAGATATTCATATACATACCATACGTGTTATTTGAATTTTGCAGCATATTCCAAGCATTCCAATCGATTCCAATCGATTACCAAGATTCCATTCTTATTTATCTATTTCTTTTTGATATGAGAAATAACATTCCCCAAATTGTGTGTCTCTGCAAAGAAAATCGGATGTGTGGTATTTTTCACTTTTTCTTTCCTGAAACCTACATTCCTCTTATTACTGCGTTCACTAATTTGTTACATTTTCCTTTAATTTATTGAAATTCGTAAAAGCCTTTCCAATTATGATTTTTTTTTTTGTCTATACCTTTTCCTTATGTCCTCTTATAATATATGTGTTTGTCCATGATTTTTGAGTTGTATAAGCCAAATATTCGAGACCGTATGCTTTCAGATTATTGTATTATTTCATTGTTGCTTTGTGTGAGATGGGTAAACTGTTAATGATTACAACTATACTCAGTAGATTTATAACATGATCATCCTAAGTAGAGATCAAAATGACAAAGAAACATAATTTTTGTTTTGTTGCTTCTTTGCCACAGATAAGCGGGAGATTAGATACAGTTTAATTTTTCATTTGCTTGTTGTTGCCTTTTCTTTGTATGCCGTATTAGCCAAGAACAAAATAAGAAGGATTATGATTATCAAAATTATTTGACATGTCAATTTTGACTTTGATACCTTTTAAGATTTGACAACTTAATCGGATTTGATGAGATATTTATTGTTTGAATTGAATTGTATTCTTGGGCACTTACCAAGTAAATGTGTCAACGACATGAACTTTCATTGCGCCTCTCAGTGTATTTCTTATTTCTGGTTGTGCTCCATCAAATCTTTTTATCTATTTTTTCTTCAATTTATCTGCCTATATATTTATTTCTTTGATACTCATTTTTTATACATATTTCTATTTGACTGTGTGCGTATGTGTGTGTGTTTATCTATTTCTTTATTTATTCGGTGATTAATTTATATTTTTTATAGGCAAAGCCAGTTCGAAGATAAGTACATGCCAATGGAGAGACAGAGGTCATCTGTACAAAATTGTAAAACCCATCTAGACGAATACTAGATACGTTTTCACGACAGTTATGTAACTGTTATTTATTTACGCACCGACGATTATACACAAAAAGAAGAATAAGAAGAAGAAGAAGAAGAGGAAAATATATATTCTTGTTTCAGGGGGCAGTGGATATTCAAAAATGCATATAAAGTGGGGCTTCTCGATGTTTAAAAGATCTGCTGATACTTGGGCACTATGGATATTTGGAACCAACGTGCTTTCTATGAATTGGTTTATTTATTCATTCATTTGATGGATGGATCGATTGATTCATTTATTTATCATTTGAATTTACAGTGTGAGTGAATAGATCCAATCAACTCGACAAAGTGGGGGATCGGGATCGGAACGATTCTAGTACAAAATCAAGCTCTGTATACTCTCATACAGGAGCTGACTAAAGTATGACAGTACTGATTATAGATGATTCAATCGGAATGCAGATCTCTTCTTGTCCCCCACCCCCCATCATTTTGTTACAACCCTTACTTCAAATATCTAACTTCTTCCCCTATCTCCTCTCCTAGAAAAATAAATGAACTTTTTTTTTTGTTGAATAAATGAACTAGAGGAAAAGATTATCTTCCTCCTTTTCAGTCAGGCGCGGATCCAGGATTTCTTAGGGAGGGGGGGGGGGCCAAATTTAAAATTATGCGAGCCAAATATTGGTACGTAATGGTGACCAGCAGTGACGTAATTGGGGGTGCAGGGAGGGGCGAGTTTTCCCCTCCCTCCTCCGCGAAGCGCGGAAGCTTTGACATTTCAATAAATTATTAGAAAAAAAGACGATTCGTTGTACCGTTCCCAAAAATAATCCTCGTCTGGATTATGTTTCCCCCCCTCCCGCGCGAAGCGCGGAAGCTTTTACGTTTTATTAAATCATTAGAGAAAGAAGACGATTCGTTGTGGCGTTATGGACTCTTAATCTTCGTCTAAATTCAGTTTCCCCTCTCCCGCGCGAAGCGAGGAAGCTTTGACGTTTCATTAATTCATTAGAGAAAGAAGACGATTTTTATTACCATTTTCGACTCTTAATCCTTGTCTGAATTTCAAAAATGTTAGATAGATAGATAGATAGATAAATGGTATTTATTGATTCATTTCCATGTATCGCAGTTACAAGTAACTGAATTGTGCATGAATAAAACATTGATGGTGAAGACAATTATACATTTCAAGAGCTATCACAGTAAAAAGTAACTGAATTACACATGAGTAAATTGCTGGAAAAAACGCAAGTATACATTTCAAGATGTCACACTACAATCTACATAATTATGAAGAGCGTGTATATACTATATACCATTAATCTTAAAC